CCTGGGTTTTCTCTGCATGGCAATTGTGCCAACCCCAGCAGTGCCATGAGTAATGGGATCTGCAATAGCAACGTGAAGGTGGAACCACATGGCATCAGCGGGAGCGTTTTCAGCAGCACCGGCACCAACGCAGCGAGCGATGCCGGAAAGAAGAGGAAAACCCCAGACCGCCCAGGAGGCCCCTCCTCTGGCTGCGCTACAGCCGCTCACACGCCGCATCAGCACACCAGGCAGACCCACCGTGCCTGCTACAGCCGGAGCGCACTCGGGCCGGCCAGTGCTTCATTTGTTCAGCTGAACCCAGAGGAACCCTCGCATTCCCAGAGGATAGGGTCGTCTATCCTGGGCGCTGCCATGGTTGTTGATCCTCATATCCCGGTGCCAGATGTGAGGGTCAACCAGAGTGGTGTGCTGGAAGGCGTGTGCACAAGGGAGCACCAGAGTGGTGTAACTTTCAAGTCGACTCAAAGGTCGCCCCGGGATGAGCGTGCGGAGAGATACGAGAGCGAGACCAACGGCCGCGCATGCGATGCGCACGAGGAGTGGTGCACGGACGATGCTTTGGATGATCCCAAGGGCCACGTGCAACATGAAGAGTGCGGCACCATGCAAGACGAATGTGGCACGGACGACGAGTGGTTGCCTCGGTGCCAAGACAACAAGACAGGCTCGGCGCCGAACCAGAGGATCAAGCGCCGGAGCATGGCAGAGAGGCGGAGGAGGGAGAGGATCAGCGAGAAACTGCAGAGGCTGAGGGTGAAGGTGAGGGGGCGAGGAGATACATGCGCGATGCTGGATAGAGCAGTGGGGTATGTAGATGCTTTGGAGCGAAGAGTGCTGGAGTTAGAGAGGGCTATCATGACAGCTGCTGGGTCTGGGAGAAATGTTTTCCCCGGCACTGCGTTTGCCGGTTTTGGATTTGCTGGAAATGCTTTTGCTACTGATTCCGCGGCACTGAGTTCTTTACCAGCTGCATTTACATCGGTCCCGACTAGCCTCGGGAGTGACGGTGTTGCTAGCTGGCCTTGGGAGTGAGTGGGGCATGGCTGGTCAGTGGACGGGGTGAGTGTGCGAAAACACCTTGGCATGGCAGTACGGTAAGTCTATATTATTTCATTAGGTCCTTATGTGTTTACATGGGCCATATGAAAGTAAGCTCAGTTACTGAACAAAATGTACAGTTCACACAAGATGTATCAAGCTTACTGGCATGTATCTGGCCCTTGCGACACCTACTGCCTTGGGCCGAGGAACCACTCGCCTTTGATCGTGAGGCAATGGATAGACGAACCGATTTCCCGCCTTTTCGTCAGAAGATGGTTTCCCAGCAGCGAAAGGGTAATCCTTTCGTCGAGATCCACCTCGCGAAACTGATAACGAGAATGTTCCGCCTGTTTGGCAACCCATGAGCAGCGGAAGGGATTGTTTGCTCCTTCCGCCTTCCTGGCCCTTCTCCCTCATTACCTAGCAATTGCCTCAGCCAGCTTACTATCCCAGTGACTAGCCATGGCAGCTTACTATCCCAGTGACTAGCCGTTAGTTATGCTTGTCGTTGACGGGGTGTGTACGACGGCGACGATCGATCAAGAGAGTCAATTAACGGCGTGCTTGATAAAAAGCTATTCTTGACGGCGATAGCGACACGACAAACGCGATCAGTTTATTACTCTGAGGCGTAACGAACCTGATGGTGAAGCAGTAGACCTCCACGACCACTATTACTTGGGAGAAGCGACGGTAGCAATTTCAAGAATAGCAGTATTTCATACTCCATTACGCTCCTGTCACGCTCGTCTTCGTGAAATCGTCGCATTCAGCTGAATCTCGTCCGGCTCAAGGCGAGAGATGTCGGATTCTGTCAATCGCGTCCTGCACACGGTAGTCGTCGCATCTTGGTCGTCGCCGTCTGGAGTCGTCGCAGCTTGATCGTCGCCGTCTGGAGTCGTCGCAGCTTGATCGTCGCCGTCTGGAGTCGTCGCATCTTGGTGAAGCGTGCTGCTCACGGGCGCGAGTCGTCGCGTTCGCTGGCGTCGACATCAGCTCTCAAGCGTCGGCGATTACGATTCGAATGCAGCGATGGCTCAGTTGTAAGGCAAACGACAAGGCGATTAAGATTCGACCGACGCGACAAGGCGATTAAGATTCGACCGACGGCAAACGACAAGGCGATTCGGGCACCTTGAGAACTCCTTTCGCGAACGGCGACGAGCGGGAACTACGACGGTGAAGGAGCACGATTCTGAGCGACGGACGATGACCTCCGAGCAGCGACGACGAGTGACGGACGACAAGCAGCGAAACGTCGAAAGACGAATGGCGATTGACGGACGACGAGCAGCGGACGACGAGTGACGGACGACAAAGCAGCGAACAATTAGTGATGGCGAGCGACGGAAAACGGTCAGCGAAGGACGAGAAACGAACGACGAGTGACGGACGACAACAACGAGCCGTCCCGTCCGTCCGCCATAGCGACCGAGCGACCAGCGAGGAACGACGCGCGAGGACGACGAACGGCGAGCGACGCGCCTAAGTGACGAGCGACGGACTTAGCAGAAAGTAGCTGCGGGCGACGAACGGCGAGCGACGCGCCTCAGTGATGAGCGACGGACTTAACAGAAAGTAGCTGCGGGCGACGAACGACGAGCGACGCGCCTCAGTGACGAGCGACGGACTTATCAGAAAGTAGCTGCGGGCGACGAACGGCGAGCGACGCGCCTCAGTGAGGAGCGACGGAATTATCAGAAAGTAGCTGCGGGCGACGAACGGCGAGCGACGCGCCTCAGTGATGAGCGACGGACTTATCAGAAAGTAGCTGCGGGCGACGAACGGCGAGCGACGCGCCTCAGTGACGAGCGACGGACGAGAGCGTCGATGGAGCAGCGAAGCCTGTCGTCCGCGCGCAGCGTGCAAATATTCCCTTCCTGGTATTTCTTTGACGCACTTTTGTTAAAACGACATCTTAAAGGAGTGTGGCGATGGTGCCGTGGCACAAGGCAGCTGAGCGCATGTAGGTAGACTTGTAGGGGGGTAGAATAGAATGCATTCATCCTCATGCCCGCGTCCTCCTCCTCCTCAGTCCCCCCCTGCAAGCTCGCTCGCTGCCAAACTGCCACGGGCTGCCATTCGCCACACTCCCTTCGCCTCCACACTCCTCCCAACCCCGCGCATGCCGTTCTGCTTTTGACTCGTTTGCTCTCCTGCACCTTCCCGTGCGTCTTGCTTGCTCCAGATCTTGTCGCATGCCTCCGCTTCTCCCTGTTCCTCCAACCTCCCCCCCCTGTGGCTTCAGAGGCAGCAGCAGCAGCAACCAGGAGCGTAGTGGGCTGCAGGTAGCTCGCTTTGCCCGCCTTTCGGAGAGCTTGTGGCACAGCAGAGGCACCTTCCACTGCAGGGAGGCAGCGCTTCTACTAGGGAGAGTATGGGGCGTGATTGGAGCGCGGGAACGCGTCAAGCGAAATCGGTGTGCGGAAATGCATGGCGCGGCGAGCAGACCACTGCTGGACTACTGCTGGCTGAGAGGGCTGCTGGGAGGGCTGCTGCTGGGAGTGCTGCTGCTGGGAGTGTTGCTGCTGACATAAGCAAAGCGACGAGCAGCTTCTGAATCCCGCTAAGTTCCCTCCTCAAGCCTTGCCATCCTTACAGCCGCTTTACCTTGTAATTCGTGTTCACAATTGCCCAGCTCTCTTTTCAAGCATGCTTCGAACCAAAACGCCGCCTTCGCATGAAGGTATAAAAAACGTTCGCGTGGTGATGGTAGCACATGGCACTAGGGCGGCTTGAGCTCACACTAGAGTTCTAGGGGGCTAGAATGCACTCACACTCACGCCCGCGTCTCCTTCTTACCTCGTCCCCCTTGCCTGCTAGCTCGCCAACCTAGTGCCATGGGCTACCATCGCCTCTCTGTTTCCATTGCATCCTTCCACCTTGGTTTCACTTTTGAATTCTTCCAGTTTTGCCTGCCGCTGCTTCATTTGTTGCTTGTAATTTTCTTTCACTCCTTTCTTCCATCCCTGGACCAGTTTTCTGCATTCCGTATCCTTTTTTCTCCCTCTCACCAGCCCATGCCCTGGTTCCAGGTCAAAAGGAGTAAAACACTCAGGAGCAACACTCCGGGAGCCAACACTTCAAGAGCGAAGCTCGACACAGCTGTGGCCCATCCAGCCTCTGGTTTGCGCACTAGTTTCACATTCATGCATTCATAATTTTTTGCTTCAATACTCCTGTTGTCCCCTTGATCCCTGCATTTGCTCCATTTCCACTCCGTTCCTCTTTTACCTCCCCTTCCTGCTCCTTCCCCCCCCTCATTTTACTGATCTCCTTCCGTTTACCCATCTCATTCCAGCAACCCAGACTCAATGGGGGTGGGATGGTGCGATGGTGGGGGCGGGTCCGTCCTATGGTGCTGATCGCGCTGGTGCTGCTAGTGAGGGTGATGGCACATGCAAAGTGGCACTTCACCCTGCCTGCCTTCCTTGCCTTCGCTCCCCGTCCCCCTCCCAACCCCCCCTCCCCTCCCTTCCACCCACTAACCCATCCACCCACCCACCCACCCATCGAACCACCCAATTCTCTAGCCCAAGACCCACACCCAATAACCACAGGGAAACCCCACTCTGACTACAGGGCAGCGCCTAACTACAGGTACGCTAACCCCACTCTGACTACAGGGCAGCGCCTAACTACAGGTACGCTAACCCCACTCTGAGTACAGGGCAGCACCTAACCCTGATCCATGGAGAAAGGGATAATGAACAAGCAAGCAATGAAAATTAGCAGAATGGAAAGAATGAAGAAAGGTTAACTTTGTGAGTTGTCAAGATAAGCTTGATCTGCTGTAACTCTTGCAGGCTGTAGGCTGTTGGCTGTAGGCTGTTGGCTGTAGGCTGCTGGCTGTATCTCTATGTATCTCGCAGGCTGTTAGGCTGCAGGCTGTAGGCTGTAGGCTGTAGGCTGTGATCTGTGTCACTTTACTCGTGAGTTGTAGCTCTAGGATTGTTTTAGCATGAAGAACAGTGAGCAGCGGAGCAGAGGAGCAGAGGACAATCCACGTGGAGGGAAAGGAGAGGAAGCAGAGGAGGAGAGGAGGAAGTAGAGGAGGAGGAGGAGAGGAAGCAGAGGAGGAGGAGAGGAAGCAGAGGAGGAGGAGAGGAAGCAGAGGAGGAGAAGAGGAAGTAGAGGAGGAGGAGGAGAGGAGTAGAGGAGGAGAAGAGGAAGTAGAGGAGGAGGAGGAGAGGAAGTAGAGGAGGAGAAGAGGAAGTAGAGGAGGAGGAGGAGGAGAGGAAGTAGAGGAGGAGAAGAGGAAGTAGAGGAGGAGGAGGAGAGGAAGTAGAGGAGGAGAAGAGGAAGTAGAGGAGGAGGAGGAGAGGAAGTAGAGGAGGAGAAGAGGAAGTAGAGGAGGAGGAGGAGGAGAGGAAGTAGAGGAGGAGAAGAGGAAGTATAGGAGGAGGAGGAGAGGAAGTAGAGGAGGAGAAGAGGAAGTAGAGGAGGAGGAGGAGAGGAAGTAGAGGAGGAGAAGAGGAAGTAGAGGAGGAGGAGGAGGAGAGGAAGTAGAGGAGGAGAAGAGGAAGTACAGGAGGAGGAGGAGAGGAAGTAGAGGAGGAGGAGAGGAAGTAGAGGAGGAGAGGAAACACAGAGGACAAGAGGTTGCTTCAGCAGACCTGGTAAGATCTCCCTTGCCTTTTCATTCCATCGTCTCCATCGCCCTTTTATTTCATCGTCCCTCTGTTCCTATACTCGCATTCTGCTCTCTTGCCACTTCAACTCAGTATGAGTTGTTGATCTGCCACTGTCTCAGATGTTCAGAAGCCACGGATTATGCACAGAGAGCAGACAAGAGGGAGCAGAGTCGAGGGAGAAGACTTGTGATGTGGTATGTCCTTCCGTCATTTACCCCTCTTATCCTCTTCGCCTCACTCCTTCAATGCTCTGCATGCCATTCACTCCTCAGCTTCACTCTCACTTGTCTGTCTATCTCCACATTTCCTTCCCTCCCCCAATTGTTCCTTGCATCCCACTCACTGTGGCAGCAGAAGGAGCAGCAGCAGCAGCAACCGAGAGTGTAGTGGGCAGCAGAGAGCTCGCTTTGCCCGCCATCTGGAGAGCTTGTGGAACAGCAGAGGGACCTTCCACTGCAGAGGGACCTTCCACAGAAGAGGGACCTTCCACTGCAGAAGGACCTTCCACTGCAGAGGGACCTTCCACAGCAGAGGGACCTTCCACTGCAGAGGGACCTTCCACAGCAGAGGGACCTTCCACTGCAGAGGGACCTTCCACTGCAGAGGGACCTTCCACAGCAGAGGGACCTTCCACTGCAGAGGGACCTTCCACTGCAGAGGGACCTTCCACAGCAGAGGGACCTTCCACTGCAGAGGGACCTTCCACTGCAGAGGGACCTTCCACTGCAGAGGGACCTTCCACTGCAGAGGGACCTTCCACTGCAGAGGGACCTTCCACTGCAGAGGGACCTTCCACTGCAGAGGGACCTTCCACTGCAGAGGGACCTTCCACTGCAGAGGGACCTTCCACTGCAGAGGGACCTTCCACTGCAGAAGGACCTTCCACTGAAGGGAGGCAGCGCTTGTACCAGGGAGAGTATGGGGCTGGCCGTGACCTATCGAGGTGTGCCACTTTTTCCAGTTCTACATCGAAAACACCGTTCTCCACCCCTCCCATGCCTTGCTGTCATGTGCTCATTTGCTTCGAGTTCAGTTCCACCCCTCCCACTTCCCATCCTTCTCTCTGGTTTCAGTTTTTGCTGTGTGCCTCCTTCCCCCCGTCCCTCCCTCCTCCCCCTCACCCCTCAGTTTCCTCCATTCTGTGTTAAGTCTTTCTTGCTAATGTTCTTACATATCTCGTGCCTGTCTTTTGGCCTGCACTCACTCGCCTTCTGCCCTTCCCTCCGCCCTGCCCCATTCCGTTTTGCCCTGCCCCATTCCTTCCGCTGTGCCCCATTCCTTCCGCCCTGCCCCCGTTCCCCTCCACTCTGCTCCATTCCCTCCGCCCTGCCCGTTCCCCTCAGGCCACTCATGATGCAGCAGAGGAAGCTGAGTGGCACACTGGCAACACCAGTTGCTCCAGCAGGGGCGGATGCAGAGCGAGCGCTAGTGCGGGAGGGGAGGGAGGGAGTACGGGACAGCATCTGTGGGTGGCACTTCAACTGCTAGCTACGTGGCTTCTCTAGTGACTCACCTTTCCGTTTTTCACCTGTAAGTCAATCTCCTGACCTTCCAGTCACCCATCGCCCTCGCCTTCCTGTTATTCAACTCTCTCTCCTTCCAGTGGGTCAGCTCTTGTCCTTCCAATGAGCCAACGCCCTCATGTTTCAGTAAGTCAATGCTTTTCCTTTGAGTGAGTCGATGCTTCTCCTTTCTGTGAGTCGACGCTTCTCCTTTCTGTGAGTCGACGCTTCTCCTTTCTGTGAGTCGACGCTTCTCCTTTCTGTGAGTCGACGCTTCTCCTTTCTGTGAGTCGACGCTTCTCCTTTCTGTGAGTCGACGCTTCTCCTTTCTGTGAGTCGACCTTCTCCTTTCTGTGAGTCGACGCTTCTCCTTTCTGTGAGTCGACGCTTCTCCTTTCTGTGAGTCGACGCTTCTCCTTTCTGTGAGTCGATGCTTCTCCTTTCTGTGAGTCGACGCTTCTCCTTTCTGTGAGTCGACGCTTCTCCTTTCTGTGAGTCGACGCTTCTCCTTTCTGTGAGTCGACGCTTCTCCTTTCTGTGAGTCGACGCTTCTCCTTTCTGTGAGTCGACGCTTCTCCTTTCTGTGAGTCGATGCTTCTCCTTTCTGTGAGTCGACGCTTCTCCTTTCTGTGAGTCGACGCTTCTCCTTTCTGTGAGTCGACGCTTCTCCTTTCTGTGAGTCGATGCTTCTCCTTTCTGTGAGTCGACGCTTCTCCTTTCTGTGAGTCGACGCTTCTCCTTTCTGTGAGTCGATGCTTCTCCTTTCTGTGAGTCGACGCTTCTCCTTTCTGTGAGTCGACGCTTCTCCTTTCTGTGAGTCGACGCTTCTCCTTTCTGTGAGTCGATGCTTCTCCTTTCTGTGAGTCGACCTTCTCCTCTGATCCAGGCCCTTCTTTGGATGGCTCATTGTTTGTGGGGGAGCAGCGGCGATGCAGTGCCAGTGAAGACGTGTGGTGGTGGTGGGTGGGCCTGCTGCCGTCCCAGGGGCTGGGCTGGGCTGGACCCACATCTCTACCAGCGCTCATGGGTAATGCCTCTCTACACCCACCCGTGCTCCTCACTCCCACCCATGCTTCTCCCTCCCACGGATGCTCCTCGCTCCCACCGATGCTCCTCGCTCCCACCAATTCTCCTCACTCCCACCCATGCGTCTCCCTCCCACCCTGTTTCCCAGGTCTGCACAGGCTGGCACAGATCCTTGGAAGAGCAGCACAAACACAGTCAAGGAAGATGGTTCTTTGTCCTTTTGATAAGCATGTAAATTTCCTTCTCTCCTACTCCCCTGCTCACAAGTGCTCAGAGGCGCTCGCACTCTGCATTTTGCTGCTCATTGCTGTTGTCATTCCTTCTTTGTTCATTCACGTCATTGCACTCTTTGCCATGCAGGAACACTCTTTTTGTGTATCGTCATTTTGGACCAACAATTATCCATTCTCAGTTCATTCCCTTGCATGTCACCTGATGTTTTTTATGTGAGCAGCTACAGAGAGGGAAGGGAAGATGGACGAAGCGTGACCAAGGGTGCTACATTTGTAGCAATCATAGTCACTGTGACAAGATTAGACATAGCAGTAGCTAGTTCATTCTGTGACGCCAATTTTCTCGCCAGGCCACGATGCCTAGGACTTTTAGTAGGGTAGGAACAATGTCGTGGTATGGTACGAGGTATAAGTGGGCAAGGTGGGAGGTATGGTACGGGGCAAGGTAAGCAACAGGGAATGGGGTGGTGCAGGGGGTCTGCTAGGCACAAGAACCAGGAGTGGTTGGGCTGGCAAGTCAGGAGAGCATCAAATGCAGGGAATGATGGCGGGAAGTGCTGTCTTCATACTTTCATCCCTGGTGCTGACCCTAGTGGCAATCCATGTCGCTTCATTCCCTGACGACACATGCAGCTCTAAGAATCTTGTGCCCATGCACTCGCGGTCCTTGCTCAGAGCTGCCCGTACCTCGCAACACCCCCCTTGTCCCACTACCCTTCCCACCCTCCCTCCTTTCCCCCTCATCAACTGAGTGCTCGCCCGCGTGGCTATCCTTGTCGCTTCATCCCGCGACGACAAATAGAGCTCGATGTATCTCGTGCCCATGCGCTCCCGGTCCTTGCCCAGCGCCGCTCTCGCCTCGTCTGTGGAGCCGAACTCCACAAAGGCCTCCCCTGTGAGACGGCCGATGCTGGTGGTGATGATGTGCACTGCTGCCTCTGCTAGAGGGTACTCGCCAAAGAATTCGAGAATGTCCTGTAGGTGGGAGGGAGGAGTATGGGGAAGGATGGGGCATGGAGCAGGGGAAAAGGATGCTGTTGGTGATGATGTGCACTGCTGCACCTGCCAGGGGGTACTCGCCAGAGAACTCGAGAACGTCCTGATGAGATAGAGGGGAGGACAGCACATGGGGCATCGGGCATGGGGACAGGTAGGGGTGAGCAAGGGGCGAACGTGTTCGCCCCAGATGTCAGACTGTAGTACCTGTAATGCGACTTGCCTTGATAGGTAGTACACTACAGACTGGATGCGACGAGATGGGTGGGAGAGTGGGGGCCACGACATCATGTGATCGTACGCCTTGTGTGGCTCCCACGCGATGGCGGTTGACTGCCGTAAAAAAAAACCACTGTCCGTCACAGCACAGCCCGATGGCACTTGCTCTGCCTGTGTGAGCCGCCGGAAGTGCTACACGATGGCCGGATGGCGCCGCGATAACAGCAACGCGCTGTGTTACGACCAAGTCGTGCTGTCCGCCTCTCGTAACGATTTGATTCGGCCCCCGGACTCTCACTTTCCATGCATACGCCTTTCCCGCGCTCCTCCTCACTCTCAGCTCCCACTCATTCTCTCTCTCCTCCAGCTCATGTCGGCGCCGCGAGTGGGCTGGTTTTTCGCGCGATCGTTCCGAATCAGATCAGTCGAGCTCTAGTAGTAACGCTCCTCTGATTACTATTTCTCAAGTGAAGGGTTTCTTTCTTCACCAGATCCACATTTCGAAGGGCCTCCATCGTCAACGAATCCTCCTCCAATCCTCCTCCATTGTTAACGATTCCTCAGCTATCTCCCTCAGCATTCAAGAAGCTACTTGTCTGAATTGATAGTTTGCAATCACGTCTGCTGACTTTTTCAAGTCTTAACTCTTGACGTGTCGCGTTACATTGTCGCCCGTCCGCGGCCCACCAATCCAACGCCATCCAACACTCGTCACAGCCCATCATCCGCGGCCCGCCGGACACAGCTGAGTCTTAACCTTAGACGTCTCAAAACGCCATATTAACGCCATCCAGAAGCTCCGACTCCGAGTCTTCACAACCCCTCCGCAGAAGTAGAAAATAGGCTCCTCACAACCACGACAGCTTACCACAAGCTATCACCACTGATACACGTGGTGACCACGTGTCTGGCCCAACTTCTCGCCGCTCACTCCAACTCTGCTACGAGCAACCCCCGGCTGAGCTCACAGCTTTGTGAGCCGCCTGAAGCCGTTTGTTACTGCAAAACAAGTTGTACTAGCCTCCTACCCGCCAGCTATCCAACCTATGATCATGGCGAGTCACAGCACTTCTACTACCCTGCCGACTAACAGCAGCGCGACCATCGCCGCACCGGACGGAGGGACGTCAGAGTCCCTTGCCGCTGCTCTCTTCTCATTGGACGACCTCCCTTCGCCGCTCGCTTCGCTGCATGCCACTCTCCCGCCGCCGCCGGCTGCGCCGGTTTCTCAGAGTCCTCTCCCCGACTCGGAGCATAAAGGCCGCTTCGGCTGGTCCCCAATCGGCCCCCGCGGCTTTCCCGAGGAGGGATTTGTGCTACACGCTGAACCTCGCTCCGAACCGCTAAACGAGCCTCTTGCCAAGCCTCAGATGACCGCTGTGGGCGGCGAGGAGGTGGCTGGTGAAGCGGCCGCGGAAGTTGGGCTGGGAGTGCTGACAGGGCTGACAGGGCCTGCTTCTGAAGCTGCTGCTGCTGCTGCTATGATGCGAGGAGCGGCGGGCGGGGAGGTGCAGCTAGAGCGCATGTTGGTTGGCCTTTCTAAGCTCGCATGCTCGCTGCGACAGCAGGAAGCAGCGCAGCAGCAGGCGGCGTGGCAGCAGCAAGCAGAGGAGCAGCAAGAAGCGCTGCAGCACTGGAACGGTGGAAACGCGGTGGGCAGCAGCAGCAGCAGCAGCGGCCTACCTGAGGATGATGGAAGCTATGAGAACCAGAACCAGAACCAGAACCAGAACCAGAACCCGAGTCATACCAACCAGGAGCAAGAGAATGAGCACTTCACACTGATGAACTCCGCGGCCGTTATTCCCGTCCCCAACGAGCGAGTCCCGACGCCTGCAGCTCGCACACCGCCGCTGCAAGCAGCTGCAGCAGCAGCCAAGGCAAGGAGAGAGGAGGTGTCTCTTGAGGCGACTCAGAAGTCAGTAGCAGTAGCAGCTGCAGTCGCAGCAGCAGCTGTAGCAGCAGCAGCCGCAGAGGCAAGGAGGGAGAAGGCGAGGAGAGAGCAGGCGGTGCTGTCAAGCCGTGTGATGGCGACTCTACAGATGGGAGCAGGCAGCGAGGCCGAGAGGCGGCAGCTGTTAGCTCTCTTGCTGGCGCTGAAGAAGGTGGAGGAGCAGCAGGCGCAGGAAGCGCAGCAGCAGCCGCAGCAGAAGCTGAGGCAGAACGCACGAAAGCGGCAGAGGCGGCAGAGGGCGATGGGAGGTCAAGGGTTGTCAGGAAACCCTCAGCCGCCGCAAGTGCAGCAACAGGAGCAGCAGCAGCAGCAGCAGCAGCAGCAGCAGCCTGAGCAGCAGGAGCAGGAAGGAAGGAATGAAGAGCACCGGCTCTTAGCTAGCTCGCCTTTTCTCGCGGGAGCAAGTCCTGACCTCCACGATGTAGGTGTAATGGGACGCATGGACGGGCGGGGAGGGGAGAGGAGCGGCGGCAGTGGCAGCAGTGGTGGTGGCAGCGGTATCGCCAGTGGTATTGGCAATGGTGTTCGGACTGACCCGGATTTTTCACTGCGTGGTGTTGGGAATGACGTCTATTTTTCACTGCGTGGTGTTGACAAGAGCCTCACCAGTGCTCTAAGTAATGAGATTCGTCTTAACCCAATGCGTGGCATCAACAGTGGCGTTTTCAGCGGTGGAGCTGCTGTGAACATTGGGACAACGAATGCTGGCAACATTGGGAGGAAGAGAAGAAGCCCTGACGCCCTGGATGACGGCGCTACAGCCGCTCCCCAGTGGCAACACGGCATGCAGACCCCCGCCGGCTGCTACAGCCGCAGCGTGCTTGACCATGCGAACCAGAGTGGTGTGCTGGATGGCATGCTCTTAAAGGATGCAGACTCAGCGCCAGTGGGGGCAGCGGCAGTGGGGGCAGCACCGGCACACCCTACTTTGTCTCCTCTTCACGGCAGCATGGCGGTGGCAGCAGGGCAGCACATGCACCTCCTGCTCCAGCAGCAGCGGCTGCAGCAGCAACAGCCACTGCAGCAGCAGCAGCAGCAGAGGTGTGAGCAAGCGTCACAGCCTCTGTCACCGGAGGCCAGAAATCAGCGCTCTTGAGGCAGTGCAGGCTCGGCGGGCACAGGCACGGCCGGTGAAGGCTCGGCGCGCTCAGGCTCGGCAGGCACCGGCATGGGTGGTGCAGGCTCGGCTGGCGGTCCGGCAACCAGCAGCAGTGGGCAAGAGGGTGGGGAAGAAGGCACAGAAGTTATGCGAGAGGGCATGCGAGATGGCATGCAAGGCATGGAGGAAATGGATGGCATGGGTCAGTGGCAGTCTGATGAAGACTTAGGGGAAGCGGTACCTGCAAGACGAATGGGGCAACAGGCCGAGTGGGGCTCAGATGCCCTGAATAATCCCAAGGGCCGAGAGCGCGGCACCATGCAAGACGAGTGTGGCACGGACGACGAGTGGTTGCCTCGGTGCCAGGGCGTAAGGACAGGTTCAGTGCCGAATAAGAGGATCAAGAGCAGGAGCATGGCGGAGCGGCGGAGGAGGGAGAGGATCAGCGAGGGGCTGCAGAGGCTGAGGGCGAAGGTGCGGGGGCGAGGGGACACATGCGAAATGCTGGATAGAGCAGTGGGGTATGTAGATGCATTGGAGCGACGGGTGGTGGAGTTAGAGAGGGTTGTGATGGCAGCTGCTGGATCTGGGAGAAACGTTTTCCCCGGCAATGCATTTGCCGGTGGTTTTGCTGGTCGTGGTTTTGCCGGTAACGTTTTTGCTAATAATGCCACGGCGTTGACGACGATACCGGCTTCGATGACATCGGTCCCGACTGGCCTTGGGGGTGACGCGGTTGCCAGCTGGCCTTGGGAGTGAGAAACGGCTGGACAGGGATTTGGCCTGTCTTGCTGGAGCATTAAAACATTTTTCACATTCTCCTGATCTTTTAACGTAAAAGTCTATCTTATCCTTCTTTTTTGATTGGCTATGTTTTTTCTTGGTGTATGACAGGAGATTGTGAATTGAGTTTAAGCCAGTTCTGTTTGTGTCGTTTATATATACATATATCTAGCCCAGAAAAAGGAATCGTGCTCGTTATAGTGCCATTGGCAATACATGTGTACAACCATGACTGAGGTTCAGAGCCTCGCGTAGGTTTTGAGATTCCTTCCTGTCAGAATGTTATATTTCTCTAGTGTGCAGTGGGGTACTTTATAGTGAGTACAGCCTTGTTAGGGTTTGCTATATGTATCCTATTGTTTGCTAATGAAACCCTCTTCTTCTGTTCTAACTTTATAGCTACTGTTCTGACATGCTATCAGAGTGAGATCGCTCCCGGTCTGTGGACCCACCCGCTTCCACTGTTGTACTACCTATCGCGCGCCTCGGGCACGCGACGTCTTCTGCCTGCTGCACGGCGTTTTTTCTTCCCGCTGCCCGCCACGCGCTCGGGCGTGTGGCGGTTTCCTGCCCGCCGCGCGCCCCGGGCGACCGCGCGCTGTCCCCTCCCGTAGCCCGACGCGACGCCCCGGGGGTCCGCGCCCTGTCCCCTCCTGTCGCCCGCCGCGGCGTCCCGGAGGCCCGCGCGCCACCTCCCTTCCCGTCGCCCATCAAAGCGTCCCGGGGCCCGCGCGCTGCCCTGCCCGTCGCCCGCCGCGGCGCCCTGGGGGCCCGCGCATCGCCCCCCTTGTGAGAATCCCATAGTTGGGATGATAGGTGAACTCAAGAGTTGGTTTGATTAGAAAGATGGTGGGTACATATAAGAGATGAGAAGTGGAAGACCTAGGCTGGGTACCCGCAACATTATTGGTTAGCCAATGGGAGTAGCCACCAATAATGTTTTGGAGGTGGCTGCCAATTATTGGGGGGCCTGGTTCCCCCCGCCAATTGTGGCAGAGTGGGGTTGGGACGCGCCCAACCAAAACTGGTTGGGGCGCCTTGGCCCAAAGTGTACACCCATGTTTGGGTGTTACACTTGCACATTTACAACCCAACTGATGCTATAATCTAACACAACCCCTTAGCAGAAGAAGGGTTTAAATGTGCACAACCCCTGAATTGACAAGCCGGGAGGGGGGCTGCTGCAGGTGAGGAGGCAATCCAGCCCAAGGTGCTGCGGCGGTGAGGTCGCACGCCAGCCGGGAGGGGGGGCTGCTGCAGGTGAGGAGGCAAGCCAGCCCAAGGTGCTGCGGCGGTGAGGTCTGCGGAGATAACTGCAGCAACGGGAGCTAGGCTGCGGGCTAGGCACGTGTGCTCGTGTGATCTCTGCGTTCGTTCACTTAGTCGTTTCCTTGTGTTCACGCTCCTTGCTAGTTCACGGGGAGAATTTGCAAGAGTTTCACTAGGAAAACATAACAACAATGATGATACAAT